TTTGGAGTTATCACAGTTTACCTTCCTCGCTTCAATAAGATAGTAAAAGACAAATATTACCATTATTTTATTTGGAAAACTAACTTTGCTTGTTTTATTTTCATTAATAGAGTTATCACTCAACAGATTTCTTGGTATGTAAAGCGTTCAGGCTATAGCAACACAAGCCAGTGTGTGTTTCTCAGGTTTGCGCTTTATTTCCAATGTGTGGATCCTCTATTTCTAGCACCTACAAAAATTTTGAAAAAGGCAATTGGGAAACAGAGCTATACGTTCTAGGAAATTTTTATGTAGTCGCTCTTTAAAGTTTTGAGCGTGTAGAGTATATTAAGTGATGCTGTTGTGTGAACTCGAGTGATCGGTTCTTCTGTGTGCGTAGAACTGCTATTTTCATGGCTATTTACGATTAAATTAAAGACAAAGAGTTATACAGAACATTTGAGCCAAGAAATGCATCGGTTCATGCTTATTCGTATTATTTAATGAAACTATTGTAGCTGTCTAGAACAATGCAAGTTGAATCGAAAATCGTTGTCAGCAGTAGTTTCTTTCTAACAATGAAGAAACCTACGTTATTCCTCTGCGTAACTAAAGTTACTGCATTAAAATTGAAACTGCATTGAAAAATGCATTGAAAAACACGGTTATTGAGACACTAATCCTGTAGTAATGATGCAAGTCTTTAAAAAGATACCAGTATCTTCTGAAACTATCAGAAAACTAAAGCTTTACAATAAAATAAAAGTTAATTAATAGTTCAACTTATAAATTATGGAAAAAATTTCCTTTCAGGGGGAATAAATTAGGTTTGGATATAAGCAGTTTAAAATGGAAACGAATTTTTCCAGTATCTAGAGGTAATGATGCTCGATGTCTAGACATGGCGGAAATACCTAGACATAAAATGTGGTTTCGTTTCCCTCCTTGTATCTACATAATATTTTTACCACACCCAGTAGCCTTTCATGGTTTTTCCATCTCTTCTAGACCTAGACTAAATGCTATTTAGTGACTCTTAGACGTTAATAAACGAACCAAAAGGTATTTGCTGCTTCAGTCCATTAATGACTAGTTGGTAATGCAAGGTTATGATGCTAAGGTTTTGTTCTGAATGTGGACCTTAACACCACCACTGCTTTGGCAAAGTGGTCTGGAACGAAATGCTGGTTACCAGAACTTTGTATCTGCATTAGCATGGGTTTTTTTCTCCAAAAGTTCTCTTCTTTAACACATAAAAGCTTGAGCTTTTATTTAATTTTAGACTTCTCGCTGTACCTAAAAAACTTGCAAACTTCCTCTTTTCTGGCTTAAACGTGCCTCGCTCTCCTACTAAAAGAAATCTAAATTTTAATGTTGCCTCTTTACTATTGTCGATGGATATTTAACTGACTAGCAAAGAAAGCTTTAGAATTCTGCATGTCGCACAATGAGTACAAAACTGGTTTACTGGTAGCTTTAAAATACTTTCTTATTGTTGTCGAAACTTTTACAATTTTCTTCTGTCTTTTGCTTCTTTTTGTCACAAAAAAGGAACACTCAGAAGCTTTTGTGTATCCTAGGCAGCACTGCGGCTCAGAACTGAGAAGTTGCCAGAGGGTTTTTGTCAGTTCGAGCCAAGTCAAACATAGAAAGTGATCACTCTCGCTACTGCTGAAGTAAAGCATGTAAGTCAATATCCCGTTTTAATTTCAGATTCGTGGTTTTTATAATCAAATGGTATAAGAAGTGGGGATTCATCATAACGGACTACGCTTGGGCAGCAATTTTGTTATGTCTGGCCATTTCACTGCTGGCAACAGTAAAGATTTTTTTGACGCCGTAAGTTTTCGGACTTCGCTAACATTTCTGACATAAATCATTTCGCAGTGGGACAGCTATTTTTATTACTCTGATCGGTTCGTAGCTTGTTTAAAAAGTTACAAAATTATCTGTCTGCTGTAGGAGCTGAAAGAAATTTGTCTTAAGGGAAATGCTCTCTTCATATGAGACTTTTTGGGTCGTATGAAAAGTAGAAAAACATCTATTATTTCTTTTTTTTTTTCAATCTCTTTTATCACTATATGTGTCATCTTTTTCCTTTTAGTAAGGTTGTTTGTCTCCTCTCCTATTGTTTTCCGGTCCAAAAAATGCAGCCTTTTTTAATAAGTTTAAAAGCAGGTTGTTGAACGCCGTATCTCCTGCGTGTTTCTATGTTGTTAATGACTACTCTTCCAATCTACTTTGGTCGGGAGAATATGAAAAAGAAATGCTGAACAAAAAGTACATAGTATAGTTACTAAAAAATTTCTTCTGCAGCGTGGAATCATAAACCGTGCGACTGGAAACAATTCTTTTTTTTGTTTCATCTTTCTTTAATCGTGTTTTGCTAGCCGCTTTGTTCTGATAGCAGCGGAAGAAACCTTGGCTAGCGATAGTTTTTAGATTTATTTTTAAGAATTTTAACAACAATGCTCCTCTTCTTTTCTTTTCTACATTTCATCTTTTCTTAGCGGTAGCAAAATAATGCTTTTTATTAGGCAGAAGAACGATATCACTGGTTACGCTCCATTTGAAGCTCGGTCGAGAGTCGAGTACAAACAATACACCTCATTTTTTTCGCATGATGGTTTAGCAATTGCAACTTACATATTTGTGACCGCACGAGATGGTGGTACGTTGCTACGAGACGAGTACCTTAAAGAAGCTGTTCAGGTAGCAGAGCAGTAGTAGTCAGCTTAAAAGTTTCAAGGAAGTCAAAAAACAATAAAAAAAAGATTGAAGTGGAAAACTATAAAAAAATAATTAGAAAATTCCTGGCGCTATTACAGGTAAGACTGTCCATTTCCAAATATGCCTTCTTTTGGTCGTCAGCTTAAATTCTTTTTTTCTTTTTATGTACAGGATTTTTGGCCTTGTCTAAGGCCCTTCATCATTTTTGGCCCTTCATCTGTGAAGCGTCAAGCTTGTCCATTTAGTTCTCGCCAACTTTCTGACGGTCTAGTGCCAAGATAAGGCCTCAATCCTTTTACCATTTTACAACGCCTCTCTTATGTCCCTTGGTGGTGTCGTGGTTAGCGTGTGTACTCTGTAGCCACAATTTTTTTTTCTAGGGTTCCAGAAAGAACTCAAACATACCTCCTGTAAGAAAAAATGGAGCCTTATACTCTTTGCTGGTGGTTCACTGCTATTGTTTTAGTAGGTTGGTTTCACCAACGCAAATTAAATGGAAGCTCGCGTAATTTAAACCATTTATTAATAACGCTGCATCGCCACTGATCAACAGTACGTAATTAAGAAGTTAAACAAACGCGCAATTCTTAATAATGATAACTCATAATTAGCAGTTAATGCTTGATATAATAATAATAACATTT